TTTTGTTTTTTTCAATACTTTGGATCCAACCCCAAGTCCTTATGCCTTCTGGGCAAACACTCTACCACTCAATTTCACTTTCTGCTCCTACAATTGTTTTAAATGTTTTCTTATATCTTTTAGCTTGCTATTTTACTTTTAAAGGTATATTTTAACGAATTGTTGTTCTAGATTTTAATGTAGTCAAATTCATCATCTTTTCTTTATTCTATAGTTACGTAGACATTTTCCTCTATTATTTCCCGAAAGCTTTATAGATTTGCCTTTTACTTAGATATATCTGGAATAGATTAATTTTTTAGTATGGTTTTAAGTAGAAGTCTCTATTTGGTTAGCTTTCCCACTGCTGAGACAAAAATATTCAACACCTGCAACTTAGGGGTGGAGAGGTTTAAGTTGGATCACAGTTTCCGAGGGCTCAGCCCATCCTAGGCTGGCCGCAAGGCAGGAGTGTCATGGTGGGAGGATTTGTTGAAGCCGAGTTGGTTACTTCATGATGGTCAGGAAGCACAGTTGGTTGGAAAGTGTGCAAGAGAGGAAAGGGCTAGGAGTCAGAAATAGTACCCAAGGTCACGCCTCCATTACACACCACCCTCTCTCTAGGCACACTAGATAGTGCTTTACGAATTCCCTGCATGGTTCTCAAGCTGATCGAGTTGAAGTCCAGCCCAGCTGTCACAGTCGAATTTTTCTTTTCCATCATAAGACAGTTGTCTCAATATCTTTTCTATAAAGACCTTCTTTTTCTCACTGCAGTGCTATTCCATACTTATCATATGTAAGTGGCCATATATATGCCTGAGTCTCTTTCTTTCTGCTATTTCATTTCAGATAAATTGTATTATGGTCTGAAAATATGCACTATATTTTTAATTCATTCAAAACTTTTTGAATCTAATTCTATGGCTAAGTGAATGGACTGTTTTGTGAATGTCCCCTAAGCACTTTAATATGTATTTTGCAGTTGTTTAATATTTACATGGTTTATCTTTTTCTATTTTTAAAAATTTTTTACCTTTTTGGTAACCTTAGGTTTTAGATGCATCTTTTTATAAACATCATAACATCATTTGAATTTTAAAAAATCCTGCCTGACTTTTTTTTTCCACTGGGGTCTGAATCCAGGGCCTTTGCAATGAACTACATGCCCAGCCCTTTTATGTTTTATTTTAAGACAGGGCCTTGATAAATTGCTAAATTGGTCAGGCTGTGCTGGAACTTGTGATCCTCCTGCCTCATTCTCCTAGAGTGCTGGGGTTAGGTGTGGACCACCATGCCTGGCCCCTGCCTGACATCATTTGTTTATTTTTTGGAGCACTTACTCCATTTGCACTTAATGTATTTACTGATGTATTTGTGTTATGTTACATTATTAAAATACTCTGTCTTTCCTACTTTTTCCTCTTGTTCTGTATTTCTCATTTATTCCCCCTTTTTAAACTTTACTTTTTTTGTTTGGCTAATTGCTTCTTAGTATATCACCTCCTGCCCCATGTCCAAGTTTGGAAATTTTATATTCTGTTTCTGTTTTGTTAGTGGCAGCTCTAGTAACTAAGTCATGCATTTTCTTTTCTTTCTTTTTTGGTCCTGGGGATCGAACTCAGGTCCTTGTGTTTGCGAGGTAGGCACCGGAACCACTAAGCTAAATCCCTGACCCTAAGTCATGCATTGCTTATTATTAGCAGGTCTAATAATAACAATTTTTAATTTCCTTCTGTGTAGCAACAAAATTTTATGATACTCTACTCAGGTCCTCCCAACTTACGTGTTAGTGCTGTCTGGTGTGTATCCAACATTGTTAATGTTTTTAGTAGGAAGAGTGATTTAAATAAGCTACCCTGTCACTATGGGAAAGCTTGGAATTATTCATTTAAAAACCTGAGCCTGTGTTCAGTTCCAGATTGAGGATCTGTCTTATTTTGCAGCCCCAGCACTTAGGAAAGTGACTGTTTTAAAGCACGTTTATCACATCAAGTCTCTGCTTATGCTTAGTCTTATGTGTTTCCTGAATGTCCCTGGATGTTCTTCACTGTCTATGATCCATGCAGTGTTCATGGTGGAGGCACATAACGAACATGCAGGTGCCAGATGTTCACAGAGTTCAACACCACTGTTCTGTGCCTACTGTCATGGCTAAGACATCCTGGCACGTTCTGGGCCAGAGAGATTCTAGTGCTATCACCTGTGAGTGAGTTAGTGGAGACAGCTTTGGCTTTCTATTTGCCCTTTACAACTTTCTCCCCTGGAAAGCTAGTTCCTACCTTCCTACCTTGTTTTTTTTTTTTTTTTTTTTTCTGGTACTGGGGATCGAATTCGGGACCTTGCGCTGGCAAAGCAGGCAGCAGAAGCACTGAGCTAAATCCCTGGCCCTAGTTCCTACCTTGTAAATTAGACCACGAGATAAACTTTGAGGTTGGAGCTAGTGAAATTTTCAAGACATAGTCTTGCATTTTTATTGGAAACTTTTCTAAAAACTCTGAGCAATATGTGTTGCATCCCTTTTTAAATAGTTTTGATTATAATTTGGGAACTACATCTGTGTGACAAAGTTGTGGGCTGTATTAGTTTCCTAGGGCTGTTGTAACAATTTCCCTCCAATCATGTGGTTTACAATAATAGAAATTTATTCCCCTAGTTTTAGAAGCTAGATGTCTGAAATAAAAAACAAGGTATCAGTTTGGGCTATGCAGTCTCCGATGGCCCCAGGGAAAATTCTTGCCTTCTATGCCACTTCTTGTCTTGCAGCTACCTCTATCTTCACAAGCTGTTTCTCTCTCTCTCTCTCTCTCTCTCTCTCTCTCTCAATGATGTTTTCATTCCTTTGTGGCAGATCTACTTTTTTCCTATAGTATTATTTCCATCAAAATACCCAAGCTACTAAAGGAAGAACCAGGGTGGCTTCCCAGAATAAAGAAAGAGACAGCAACCACTGAAACAGTGGAGCAATTGCTTCTTCAAAGAGCTATTGCCATTTTTTTCTTCCTGATAACATACATATGGTTCTGAAGGCAGGAAATGCATTGGCATGTTGTTTCTGTGCCTCTGAGCATTACCAGAAATG